GATTCATTTCCTGGTTTGGCCCATTACATCCCTTCATAAAATCGGTGAAAAATGTTGATGACGCTTGTCCACATAAAAGCAGATACTTTCAAACATCTTCGTCAAAAAACATGAATGTTAGTGTCATTTACGATTTTTAGTCAATATATATGTCGACACAGCTTACCTATTGAAATGTTTGATGCGCCTTTGTTGTCGCACTTTGTCTTGTTAACGTTTGAATTTTGTGCATTTGGAACATTGACATCGTTTCAGTCTGTGTTTGCTCATTTTTGTTATCGGAACTTGCTAAGCGAGCCGCATTTACTAGCATGGCATGTGTGAAACAAATTCATGTAGAGGCCCAAAAAAAGTTAACGAATGCTGACGGTTGCTGTCTCATACACAAGTTAGCACGTTACGCTTGGGTTTCAAACCCTTCAGATTTTTTTTGTAGTCCACATTAAAGCTGGAATTTCGAACATTTTTATGTTTTAAAACTCAAGCCACGACTAGTGGAGATGATACAATGCTGGTTAAGCCTTCAACATTTTGCTGTATTTTTCAACATTTGATTCGGTGTCTGTCCACTAAACACTCACAAACACGCTCCGATTTTTTTTGTAACGACTGCGACTGTCGGTGACTGAGTTAACATAATTACCACGTGGCTAACAATTAGCGGGCTCGTTCCCTTTCGTTTGCAATAAAACAAACTCAAGGCATCTTCTTGTAATGCAGTCTTCCACCAGAGGGGGGCGACAGAACTTAAGTTGACGATAGTCAATTCAACGACTACTCGGTAACATTATTGATCCTTTTCTTTAAGTCTCAACTTGCTGCGTCGTGCCTCTCAAGTCCAAATGCTGACTCATTCGCCCACCCTGCTTTTCACAAATGTCAACCCTTCACCTGTGCTACGTGGACTGTTGCAATAGTTTTCCAAGCTGCCACCCTGAAGGCATGTGGGTGTGTCCCGCCGTGAGCTCTTTAGAAGACGGGAGGCCAAACGGCAGTTGGAAGGTTTGCCTTACCCCTACATGGGCATGACCAAGATAGTGTAAAAACCAGCAACTCTTCCGCATGTGATGGAAAAAGGGACCACAGCAGCGTATCAACATTTCAGGCATCCACTGAATAGTCCAATTGAGAATATACAGTAGACTAATGCTAGTTACTGATAGTACAGCAAACATTGAAGACAAAGAGTTGGTGAAAGTTGCCCAAAGGTTTTCACTAATCCGGGACAGATGGATGCTCCCGAGCCGAACGGCATCAGGTAGTGGCGAAGTTTTTGCCCGTTTTTGAAGAATTCCGTCTGACGGGCGAAGCGGTCGAAGCAAAATGTCTGATGGGACAAAAAAAAAAAAAAAAAAAAAGAATGACAAGTATCGGGCAAAGACGTGAACGCCCGGCGGCGGTGAACACTACCTGCGGCTGGTCGTAAACGGCGGCATCCATGTGCACACTCCGCGGGTACAACGCCACAATGTCGCCTTTCCTCACCGCCATGGCACGCTCGTTGTTAAGACGCAGGGTCAGGTCCTCCTGAGCTACGCGGATGTTAATCGACGCAGAGGACAGGCGCAGGCTCTCATGGACGGCGCTTTCTGAGGACCCGCAGGAAGTCAGGCTTGACAGATACAAGAATTCGGTCACGCCGAGTTTCCTACCCAGAAGAATCATCTTGTCCAGCTGCTGTGGGTTGAGCGCCAGGTCCGTGCCTGCGCTGAATTTGTGTCCGCTGCTCTCCAGAACGTCTCGGATCTCCTGGCGGATGGCGCGCAATGCCTCCGGATGCCTCAGGAGGTGGTACGCCGCCCAGAAGCCGGCCGGCGCCGTGTTGGCCACCGATGCCCACAGCATGGCCAAGTGATGCGCTGAAAGACAACGACAACAAAGCAAATTCAGCGCTACAAAGACTCATTCACTTTGCTGTCGGTGACCAACTGATGTGGTCGTAAAGGCGGTGACTGCTGAATAAAAAGTAGTTTAAGAAGTTGTACTGACCCGCTTTGTCGGCGTCGCCCAGGATGGGGTGGCGCTCCAAGAGCTGGGCGCGGCGCCGGATGAACTGCGAGACGCCCGCCCAGCCGGACATCTTGGGCGTCGTCAAGTAGCTCATCAGCTTCCGGCGGATCCCGCCGACGCCGGCTAGTAGCCAGATGGGAACCTGCGCGATGAGCAGCGGGAAGGCGTCGTCGAAACGGATGAAGGAGGCCTTGAGCTGCGCCGCGTCGGCGTGGCGGAGGCCCTTGGCCGGCCGTCCGTACAAGGTCAGGAAGGTGGCCTCCAACGTGACCTCCACGCAAAAGTCATACAAGCCTCGCGTGCGCCATGCGCCGCCTGGGCGCAGGTGGTCCTGGTGGAAGATCATCATCAGGTTTCCCATCATGCTCTGCGTCAGCGGTGAGAGGTGCTCCCCGTGGAGGAGACGGTAGGCGCGCGCGATCTGCTCAGGGAGGCCCGGAAAGGTCCCTTCGGTGACGGGCGTGTAGCCGAAGGCTGCCGGCGCCGCCCGCCTGCT